AGTAGGTCCATTTAAATCAATGGAACATAAGGAAAATTTCACTAACCAATTCCCTGTTGATTCAGTGGGTCTATTCTAGTGTAACTCACTACACTAAGTAACGGAATTTTAGTTAATGAATCTGAATATTCCCTTTTCATTGTAGTAAAAATTATCTACTTCAGAATAACTGAACACAAAATTGATCACTGAAACACCCCAACCTGCATTTACAAGTTTCCCTAAAAACACATCTGCATTGGGTCCAGAAAACAGGACGTAACCACTTATTTGAATTTAATTGCAAACTTAGTATATTTCTATCCTTTCTAGGAGCAATAGTTTAAGACTCAGTTAAAGTGTAACAAAACACTTCTTTGTCTTTGAGCTTTCACTAGAATGTGTGCCAACAATGTGCTCATGTCATCCTTGTGTGTGTGTGTTTAGTCGTTTAGTCGTGTCCGACTCTTCGTGACCCCATGGACCAGAGCACGCCAGGCCCTCCTGTCTTCTACTGCCTCCCGGAGTTGTGTCAGGTTCATGTTGGTTGCTTCGCAGACACTGTCCAGCCATCTCATCCTCGGTCGTCCCCTTCTCCTCTTGCCATCACACCTTCCTAACATCAAGGTTTTTTCCAAGGACTCTTTTCTTCTCATGAGATGGCCAAAGTACTGGAGCCTCAGCTTCAGAATCTGTCCTTCAAGTGAGCATTCAGGGTTGATTTCCTTTAGAACTGATAGGTTTGTTCTCCTTGCAGTCCAGGGGATTCTCAAGAGTCTCCTCCAGCACCACAATTCAAAGGCATCAATTCTTCGGCAGTCAGCTTTCTTTATGGTCCAGCTCTCACTTCCATACATCACGACAGGAAAAACCATAGCTTTGACTATTCGGACTTTTGTTGGCAAGGTGATGTCTCTGCTTTTCAAGATGCTGTCAAGATTTGTCATCGCTTTCCTCCCAAGAAGAAGGCGCCTTTTAATTTCAGGGCTTATCCTTTGTGCTCATGTCACCCTTGTCACAAGGATATTCCTTATAGAGAGAATAACAACTTATTATTTTCTAGGCTTATTTTCCTTTTCCAGAGGGATGTGATGGAATGAGAAGTAACCACTCTTTTAAAATTGTTATAAATATAAAATTGTTATAATCTCTCTCTCTCTATCTTAAAAAAGAAATATGGCAGAGAGGATGGAAGTATCCTTGATGGTAATAGCATCTGCTACAATTATGATGAAGAATTAGCTAGCCTCCTACAATTACAACAAACAATTAGCTAGTTTTTGCATGTGATTAGATCTTAACCAAAGTCAAATGGGCAAACTATGACTTTTTAAAATAAATCTTTGTATCATCTCCCAGGAAGGAGATTTCTGACATATTAAAATAATTAAAATATTAGTTCAGTGGCTGGGCGCATTGCAGCCTCTAGTAAATTACACCTTTCACTTCATTCTTTTGTACACATTTTTTTTTCAAATCAATGAGAAAGTAAGCTTTACTGCCTTTATTTCTCTGCACTCTTTTGTAGAAAATTTGAACAAGTGACACAAACTACTGAAAGCTAATATGCTTGCAGCAAGGCCAGTTAACATCATTAATGTGTCAAGCGCAAGCTTCTGTTGTAAAGCACTTCTGGATTCCTTAGCAAATTTTGCTGGCAATGGGTTGTTTTGCCTCGTTAACTGTGTCGTTCTCTTTGAATAAAAGTGAGATACTGAGAACACAGCACACTCCGAACAGAATAAATCCCTTATGCTTAATTTTATTGCACAAACTACCCATTCCACGTACAGTTCTGAGGAAAAATCTCTGTGTCTGTGTTTGCTCTTAACCCTTGCTGGCTGCAATAAAAAAAATCTGCAGGAAATACAAAGAGAAGCACAGGGACACCACTGTGTGGGATGTACAAAGGCCATTGTCAGGTGCCTACAAATGCAGGGCCAGTGATGTAGCAACCTCAGCTAACAGCTGGAATATGTCTCCTAGCAGAATTTACATTTTCATCACAGACTACTGTTGTTTCCCCAATCTAACCACCCACCAAGATCATGGGTGGGAAACTACAGCCCTCTAGTTGTTGGATTACAAAATTCCTATTCACCCTAACCAGCATAGCCAATCCTGATGGAACTGGGAAGTGCAAGCCAATATCTGAAAGGTAAGAACGGCCTATGCTTGAAATGAGTGAAGCACAAGTTACCTGCATGTAAGGGCTGAGATGCTGGGCTAGGATGGCATCTAAGTCCAATGGTGCAGTGTATGCTTTGCATCCACAAGATCCCAACTGCAGTCAAGAGTAACAGAGAGCAGGCACAACCTCTGCCTGAGAGCCTGGAATACCACTTCCCATGAGAGCTTGATGAAAAATATGACTCTATAGCCATGCAGTGATCTTCTGCATCTGTATATCAACACAGCTGTGGCACAATGATGCTATTTCCACCAGTGCCTCCTGCTCTAGGAATCTAGATGTGCGGCCATGCAGTGGTCTAGCTGTGGCACAATGATGATTCCACCGGTGCCTCCTGCTCTAGGAATCTAGATGTGCATCTTTTTACACATACACACTACGATTACAAAGGTGAGATACAGGCTTTCAGGAAAAACATTCTGAACATGCACACAAGGAAGTACATTTCACTGAAATCAATATGACATTGTGCATCAAGTATGGCTGCTGCCCCAAGAGTACCTCAATACAATGCTGGAAAACATAAATGAGGACTGATATAACCGCCTTGTTAGGGGTGTGTCTGGTACAGAGATTTTCCACACAATAGCATATCAGTAATAGTTGTATGTAACCTTTTGCCACATATAAAATAACTCTGCAGTAGCTATAATTCTGCCATATCACAGAATCATATTTTCATGTTTCTATCTTTTTTTATTAGAAGATGGAGGGAAACCTCCTTTTTATGAATGTTTCCATCACCCCCATGGCCAAGCAACCATACCTATAGATTCTGACTTGCTTTGAAATATCTTTCACCAACTAAGTGAACTAAAGAGGAAACTGACCAGTTTTTAAACACCTTTTTGATGTATAAAAAACTAAGAGCACAGGGTTGGTTTTTGTTTGATAGTATAAGAGAAATCTCATGAGAATTTGTTCTTGCATTAAGAGGAGCAATCGTGTTAAGTCTTTAATTTACAGTAGTATCATTTTCAGCCCAGTGCAAAATGTGTCAGATATCTAAAGGTAAAAATACATTACATACAGTGTATACTTTAACATTTTGAAAAATTAAGAGCACATAATGTCCTAAATTTAATTGCTAGTCTCAACTGGAGTAGAACAACTGAATCAGTGGGAATTTGATAAGTCAACAGTTCTGTCAGGTCTCTTGATTTAATGAGTTTATTCTATCTGGGACTAACAATCGGATTTCAGCCAATGTTTCTAAATAAATGTTTATATTACTTTATAAATACACTCTGTTCTTAGATTGTAAGCCAAAATACCCAAAAACTTGTTAGTAAAGATGTGATATATACAATACTAACTGGGTATTTGTTTTTTAAAATTCTGATACATTGCATCCAACATTTTTCTGGAAGATTGTTTATCCCCCCCCAGATCATCAGCTCTCTAATGCTTCCGGTCAAAAACAGTCTATCTTAACATTTAAAAGATCATCAGCTCTCCTAATGCTTCCGGTCAAGAACAGTCTGATTATCTTAACATTTAAATTTTTTTAACCTATATTTCATTATCATCATCTTAGAACTGAAGAGCTGGACGGGAACCTGTGGGTCATCAAGTTCTGTGCTTGTCCAGGAGGGACAATGAGGAATCGAACTTGCAACCTCTGGTTAGATACCTAAACGACTGCAATTCAGCAATTCCTATTCATCAGTGTCCATATTTTTATAGTGTGCAATGCTTAAATATGTATACATAAAAAAAGAGAAAAATAGTTGCTAGCATATTAACAACAATTATACTGTGCAAATCACTGTACAAACAGCTATGCAGCTGTTTGCGCAACAGAAACTGTATGAAACTTTTGCACTAACTTTGAAAACCACTCATACAACAGGCCTCACATTAGTGCAATGCTACATATTGATGTAGGCCTACATGGTATTGAGTAAACTAGTAACAAAGGATTCTCCCATGTGAAAGCATATTTTTAATGACCTATACAAGTATAACATTCAGTAAGGAAATAATCAGGATTTCACCTGTTCTACAAGTTTGCCAATGTGTCACAGAAACAGTGGGGTTTATTCTCAAATACAACTCACTGTTTTAAGTGCAGCATTTCTCAAGCAGTTTCTGCAAATGCAACAGCAGACATCTGAGAATTTAGAGCTTCTGCACTATTTGCATTGAACTGGACAGAAAAATGCTCTCCAACAGCTTCACTTACCTTTCTTCTCAAAGGTTTTTAGACTAGTTCCCTTTTGTTCTCTTTTCTATAGAATCAGTCACTTGAGAACTATACTGTACTATTAAAATGCATCATGTTCATCTTTTAGCAATGAGAACTACAAATGTTACTTTCTTACTGCATTTCAGTTGAAGCAACTGCTTCCAATTAATGTATGTCCTTTTTCTGCTTCTTTGAGGTGACTAAATTCAAGAAAAGCAATACTTTCCTGCTATAATTATTGCCCCTTCTCTTTTTAATAAAAAAAGCATGGCAATATATTTAGTGATGCTACTACCAACAGGAACATAGCTGTTAAAAATCTGCAGATGCCAGTAGACAGCTTTGACCTTGAAATAAGATAAGCCAGAGTATTCCAATTCCCCATTTTCCTAAAATAAGACTATTAAAATATACTATTAAAAGCATATTGAAGTCTAACACTAGACCAACAAAAAGACTTGCATGGCACCAGGGAAAAGAAAAGAGTATTCTTTAAACAAAATACATTCCTTTAGGACTATGATAATTAGTTCTTTACAAAAGTTCACAACATGGCCTCTTTTTTCTGCAACTGGGACACTTGATGAAAACATGAAGATCTCAACTTCCACTTTTCAGATAACTGCTAATGCATGAGGGAGGTTGAAAGCCTGAATCTATTTGCATGTCTGTGTACTGTCAGAACAGACATGTAGGGGTTTTCAAGTCTGCCTTTGACAAGAGGATTCTTCTAAAAATGAATGGCTTCTAGTGCTGCCAATCAACCTTCATTGTACAGCTATTCCATTCCCCACCCAAAGAGATTTTCTATGGTTATAGAGAAGAGAGAAGCAGTGGGAAAATATGTGCTACAAATTATGATGTTATATACATGCAAAATCTATAAAATGATTATACTCTAAATAAAATATGGAAGCATCTTGAATATTTAGGGTTTGTTCTAAACTTTGAGAAAATTAGACAGCACACAAGAAGCTTATTTTATGCAATATTTCAAAGTGTGTTGTCTGCATGTTTTAAAGGTGTTCTGTTTGGCTTTGCCATCCTGGTCTCCAGACTTGTACATGATCAAATGAGATCCCCAAGGCAATGGACACCAAGGACTCCAAGCTCCCTTTCCACCTGGAGTGTTATCAGGGCAAGAGCAAGTCATTTAAAGCCACAACCAGACTAACAAAAAGTATTCCTGCAGAAGTCTGGAAAGGATATTTTGGTACCCAGAATGATCAGGACTCATACATACAGGCACACGTTCTTGATTTAGGATGTGAATAGTACCAGAGTAAGAACCAGTTCGCAGATGGTCAACAGAATCCTTAAAAAGACCTTTTTATTCCATTTATAACCATGACCACGCACACTACTGAAACTGAACAAGGTCCTTGCAAAATGCGAAAAGGAAATAACGCACAATGACAATTGGGTGGGAGTCATAGCCCCCTGGAGCTTTTAATTTCGTGGGAGAACTAGATCCGACAGGTAGCGTAGGCTACCTTGTGCCATTCATTAGCTGGCCCCTCGTTACATGTTTCCATCGTTCACGCGATGCCCGGCCGCCCCTTCCCTGCAACGGGAGAGGGCAGGTCTCGGACTAAGGTAGAGAGCGCGCCTCTCCTTGCTCCGCGCGCCCCCCCCCACCCGAGGGAGGCGAGCTTGGTCCATTTTTTGGACTGGCCAAAGGCAGTTCCTCAGCGCCCCGGCTCTTCACCAACGGGGCAGCCTCCCTCCTTCCGTCTCGAAGTCAGGCGAACCGACGACGAGGCCGCCACCGCTGCCCCCCGGCCCGCGCTGGAGAGGTACGGACTCGGCAGGCGGCTCCTCCTCCCGGTGGCAGCCCGGCCTGGGAAGGAGTCGGGAGGAACCAGGCAGGGGGGTGACGAGGCAGGAGGAGGAGGAGGAGGAGGAGACGGGCCATCACGGGCACGGCCTCTCTTCGCCGGGGTGCGCAGGGGCGGGACTACGGCCGGCGGCCCCTCCTCCGTCCCCGCCTCCTTCGAAGAGCTTTTGGGGGCTTTCGGCCAGGAGGGTGGTGCGGACTTTACGCTTCTCTTTGAAGCGGCCTGAGCGGGAAATCTTGAGGTTCCGGCGGCTACCGCCGCCCAAAGCCATCGGCTGGCTTTCCGGGGAGTCCGAGGGCCTGGGCGGGGCGTGGAGCATCTCCGAGGGCTCGGCCGGCTGCCAAGCGGGGCCAGACTCTTCCTTGGTTTTTTTTCTGGTCGTCAGCGATTTCCACCAGGCGCCCGAGGAGCTGCTGCTGCTTTTGGCTCCGGGCCCGCTCGAGGGGGCGGCCGCGGCGCTGGCGCTCTCGGCCATCCTCGGCGGGCAGAAGGCGGCCGCCCCACGCCTGTCCCCCGGTTTGGGGGCCCCGGCGCGAAGCGCTCCGGTCGGGCGCTGCTGTGCAGGCAGGCCCAGCGTCCTGGAGGGGAAGACAAGAGAGCTTTCAATGAACGGCTGGACCTCATCCCCCCGCCTTCCCTAGCCCCGTTCCTGTCCTTTTTGGATCCTGAGTGCTGACCCCAGCCCGATAGACGGCTGAGAACAGCGGCGTGCGCTGAGATTGGTTTGAGCAAAGAAGATGCTGAAACCTCCGTCCTTCCATCTTTTAAGATAAATTATGAATTTGGAGCATGGAGTGAGGGCTTCAGCAGGGCGCGGTGTTTTAAGAAGGCTACATGTCTTCCACGAACCTTCGCGGGGCTCCTGGTTTGGAGGCATATACCAAACCGAGCGCTAATACAAGTGGAAAGTGAAGGCACGACTGGATGCATCCGATGAAGTGCGTCCCAGTCTTCAAAAGCCTATGTCAAACAAAACTTGAGAGTCGGTGAGGTGCCACAAGATTCATTGGTTTTACCCATGGCAAATAGGGCCACCTCTTACAAATCTCATCAGGCTAGGCACTTAAGGAGTAACTCTTTTTCCTAGAGTCCCTTTCTTATCAGGAAAGCAACTTCAAAAGAACATTCCCAACAATATCCAACACAAACTTCAGCAAGCAACATTTCTAACATTGCTCATTGGAGCCTCTACTTGCACCCTCACTCAGAACATCAAAAGAAAAGAAGCAAGGACTTGATCCACAATTTAGTTTGTCCTCCCTGGAGAAGGAATCTTGAAGAAACAAGAACCTCTAAGAGAAAGTAGGACATGGGCCAGTTCACTTGTTAATAGACAAAAAGTATCATAAATCTTTTAACACTGTGTATGGTGCCCCCCCCTTTTTTGCATCCCTTGGACCAATCAGGATGTTCTCAGGGCTGACCACAGTTCTAATGGCAAAGGGTAATGTGGATTTCTTGGTAATCAGAAGGTCCATTTTCTACAGTAGGTGGATGCAGGGCTGGAGATCTGACCTAGCTTTTCTCTACTTGTAAAAAGTTCACAAGCACATTCCCAGTAGTACTGTTCACTGCAGCACAAATTTGTCATGTCAATAGGTTTTGTACGAGGGGAACTGTGTCCATTCCTAAAGACAACACCAGAGGAACTGTGTAAACTTTAATATAGCTAAAATACTTCAGAGGGTTAAAACCTTTCCACATTGCATAGCTTCCCTATTGTACTAATGAAGTCATTAGAAATAGTTAAACCTTTCCAAGACCGGCTAAGCAACCAGGAATTCAGTCGCTTAGCACAATTCATCAAAAGCTTCTTTAGTTGGGAGATTTAAGCACAGGGCTGTGGTATTTCCAGTACACTAGGGTACTCGTCCAGCAGTGCCTCCTTTTAAAAGGATGAACGTTTGCAACAAAGTTCAGCATCATCAACTTGAGCTCATTTGCAAAGTGGGGCTAAAATGTTAACTTTCCAGGTTCGTCAATTTTGCATTGGTATGTTGCCTGTGGATGAGAATGGAAAGAAAATGGTTTGATTTTAGGCCAAATACTTAAGCAAGCAGAGAAGTGCAGTTCAGAGCAACTTCCATGGAATTTTGTAGAATATACTTCTATATAAAGATGCATGGTGTGGACTGCGTGCCAGCTAATGGCAAACACAGAGCAGCAATTTTTGATAATAAATCCATTAACTGTAAACACCCAGTATTTTGTCTGAACTGGCATTATTATTTCTACTGCCCTCCATTCTACTTGAGCATGTGGTTCAGGCATGGTTCATTTTCTTGACCTTTCTGTGTTTGTTCTAAATATGTCACTTGTGGACTTACAAGCACCTCTATCAGATAAACATAGCCCCCCACCCCTTGCTTCATGCTTCTAACATATTGTGTAATACAGACCTACTAAAAGTATACAGGCAGATATTCCAGATAATTTACAAATGAACTATGATTGCAATTGCCATCTCTATTTTGATCCCAAGTCACTGGAAGTTACAAGAAAATATTGACTGAAATCCTTTTCTTTAGCATAGTAAATTGCACTAGAGTAGGCCCACTTAGGGAACTTATAAAGTTGACTCACCAAATCCCCACTTATTAAATCGGCCTGTGACTATGCTAAATAGAATTTCAACCACTGTCGATGAATAAGAACATTTCACTTAGATTTCACTGGCATACAAAGGAATAGGCAACCTGCCACAAGCCAGATGTTGATGTTCTACTCTGACTCCCACCATGCCCAACCAACAATTCGAGGATACTGTTAAATCCCCCAGCTCATCAAAAAGCATCATAGTCCCTCTTTCTTACCCCCTATGCCAAATCTTTGCTACCCACATTTTCACATGCAGTGTAGCAGCACATCAGGAACCCACACATAATAACAGAAGATAATAATAATAATTCTGGTGGGCCACAGGTTGCCCATCTATGCTGTACTACATGGACAACAGATTTGTTAGGAGTCCCTTTTCTCCTCAGAAGGAAAAACTTACATGTTTTCCAGTCCTACCCTACAAACTTGATTAAGTTGCTTTCTGTGTTTTGCATACAGGTTGCAAGTGGTTCTTTTCCATGCAGCTTCATAAAGTAACTGAAAAGGCGGGCTTGTGATGTTCTTTTAGTTTGGTGACATTTAGATTAACCACAAATGAAACATACAACATTTTTACAAGGGAATGTCCACAAGCTCACTACTCTGTGCAGAACCTTTTCATATGAACAATATAAGTAATTACAATCACAGACAGTTAACTCTGACAGCCAGGCCAGGTGTTTTAAGGAGAACATGTACTGCACCCTCGTCTTCAAACCAGCACTGAAGATTTTAATATTCTTCTAACTTCTGAACAATTTCCTGCTAGTTTGTCCTAAAACAGGATCCCACCCACATCATTTAGCATGTCATACAAAGGGAGTCACCTAATAGAATGCAACTCACTAAATTACTGAAAGGGTAAGAATGGGCAGCTTGTGTCCAGCAAGAGATAAAATGGCTGACAACTTTTTTTTTAACTGGCAACTGCAGCATTTCTTTAGAAAGGGCAGTGGAAGAATTAACCAGTCTCATTCCTTCTGGCACCACTTGGATGCTGAGGCAGCAGCTCTTTGTTTCCCTTAGTAAATTATGCTTGTTGCAAGTTATAGCTAGAGGGCCCTTGTTGCACCTGTGCTATGGAAGGAATCAGTTTAGGCAGGTGCAACAGAGGGCTGAGCAGAGGACCACACCTTTATCTTTGAAGCTATTTTCACTTGTTAACTGGGTGACAAAACCCTATCTGTTAACCTTTGCCACTTGGCAAGTTAAAAATTATGTAGGCTGTTTTCTAACAAATGAAGTCTTCTAAGTGCCATGGCTGAAACACACCATACCCTCCTTCACCTTCATCTTCTAGGCTTGCCTTTTACATGCCACCCATGACAGAATTCCTGGAGAGCCGACGGGATTTCAGTCCATTATGCAGTTACTAAATGCATAGGGGTCCCCGTAAAAGAGACTTTAAAGAGTTAGATGATGGCAGTCTGACAATTCAGAGTGCTTCCAAGTTTGCAGTGGCTTGGGGGAAGTCATGTACAACGCTTTCCTTAATAATGGTGAGATTTAAAGTTCAATGTCAAATGTATTTACTCAGAAATATGCCCCATAGTGTTCAGTGGGGTTCACCCCTGAGTACCTAGGATTCACCCCTGAGTACCTAGGATTGAAGCCTTAGTTCCATGTCAGTACTGCCCACGACCTGTTTGTTCAGAAGTAAGCTCCATGCGTCCACTTCGGGTTTACTGTTACGTAGGCGTGCATAGGATTGCCAGGGACTGCAAGTCCCCCATATACTTCCTGGGAAGCCTTATTTCCAAACAAACACGCCCAAGCATTTGCACTGCACTCGCTGGGCTTGAGGCCCTCAGGGGATGGACGGCTACAGGGAAGTCCCCCTCTCGCCGGCAGGATTCCCCCAAGGGTCAGGCGGTGACAGCCAGCGCTGTTCACGCCCCCCCCTCGCAGCATCCTGCTGGGGAGCGACTCTTCCCCTCCCACTGACCCCAAACGTAAAGGAAACCTTTCTCTCCACCCCCACCCGGCCCCGTGGAGGGCCAGTCCCCCAGCCGCGCCCTCTCTCTCTCACTTGGAGGCACCACTCAGGAGAAGGACGGGGGTCCGCAGGTGGAGAGAGCCGGCGGCGACCCATCTTTCCCTCTCCTTCCCCCCCCCCACTGCGCGCGCGCCTCTGCCTGTGGAAGGAGCGCGCGAGATGGAGGCAGAGCTCCTCGCGGGCACCTGTTGGAAAGTGCCCGCCGGAGGGGAAAAGCCAAAAGGGGAAAAGCAAAGCCGCGCTCTCGTTCGCTCTCACCTGTTCTCCTCAGGAACCCGCCTTTTAAAATTATTGTTATTATTATTATTATTTTCACAGACGGCAAACGATAGTGGCCCTGTAACCGGCAAGGTGGTCGGCGGTGTGTGTGTGTGTGTGGAAGCAGCCGCCCCTCAGTCCATCTTATCTCTGCCTCCGCGCTGGGAGTGTCGTTACCTGAGCGTTCTCGGAGGAAACTCCTCGCTGCCTCAGCAACAGGCTGCCCTCAGAGGAGAAGCAAGCCAGGGACTTGGCCTTTTCTTGAGGCGCCCGCCCGCTCCAAATGAGAGCGCCAACTTTTCCAGGTGAATAACGTAGGGGGCCGAGCGAGGCGAAGCCGGCTTACTAGGAGCCGTCTCTAAGGACAACTGCAAGCAGCTGGAAAGAGGGAGGCTGTGCGGGTCAAGAAGGCTTTTTTTTTTTTTGGTCGCCCCTTCTCTCGCTCTCTTTTAAAATACGACGCGCTATCTGGCCCGCCCGACTCGTTTTCTTCAGAGGCTTGAACTGTGCAGTGCACCTAGCGTGGGGACAACAAGGAAGCAGGTGGAGGTGAGCTCCTGAGACGGACCCCGCCCCCTGCTTCTCCTTCCCACATGCGATTGGCTCCTATAGAAGGGCAGATTGACAAGGAACTGCCTATAAGTGGAAGAAGTAGCTGGCTTGTTCAGGTATAAATACTTCGACAGGTGAGGGAGCTAGGGATCAACTTTGTTTATCTGTAGGATTTGGCTGTGGCAACACATTGTCCGGAGCTTTTCTCCTTATTCTTGGCTGGTTTTCTTGCAACGCTGTCATGCGTTTTCGCTATCCCAGGCACTCTTGCCACCCATGTGACCTTTGTACGGGAAGAGGGAATAAAAGCACCAGGCACAGCAGCTCTCTGAGGATGCATAAAGCTTTTATTGTGATGGGGCGTTCTGTTTTCATTATTTTGTTACACTTCCAACTTTGCTATGAGAATACCTCTTCAGGGAGGGTAGTCTTAGGGACATGTCTGTATGAGGTACAGTAGTTGATTTTCCAGGTTCCAGTGTTTTGATTCAGTAGCTGAAATGCAGTTGTAAATTGAAACTAGAGTAAGCCTGTTGAATTAGTGGGGATTTGGTGAGTCAACACCTATGTAAATTCCAGTGATTCAGCCTACTCAAGTTGCAACTTACTGTTGGATTTCAGAGGAGAAGGGGATGACAGAGGACAAGATGGTTGGACAGTGTCATGGAAGCTACCAACATGAATTTGACCCAACTCCGGGAGACAGTGGAAAACAGGAGGGCCTGGTGTGCTTTGGTCCATGGGGCCATGAAGAGTCAGACATGACTTAATGACTTTAAGAACTTGCTACAGTTTGCTGTGGTCCACACAGTCAAAGGCTTTTGTGTAGTCAAAGAGGCAGAAGTAGATGTTTTTCTGGAACTCTCTTGCTTTCTCCATAATCCAGCATATGTTGAGTGTAGCACCTAACATCTTTTAAGATTTTAAATAGTTCAACTGGAATGCCATCACCTCCACTGGCCTTGTTGTTAGCCAGGCTTTCTAAGGCCCACTTGACTTCACTCTCCAGGATGTCTGGCCCAAGGTCAGCAACCACAGTATCTGGGTTGTCTGGGATATCCAAATCTTTCTGGTATAGTTCCTCGTATTCTTGCCACCTCTTCTTGATGTCTTCTGCTTCTGTTAGGT